AAAACGTTGGTTATGGAAAATTCACAGAAGACCCCATGGTCTGCACTGCTACTACAGGATGTCAATGAATTGATGGCCATGTCAATCATTCTGTTATTCAACAGCCTTTACAGTAGGTGCCGTGGTCCCCACAACTGCAAGACCGATGCTATTAGACACTATATGGCCATTTAGAAAAGGTTTGTTACTAACAGTCTTTACACAAGGCCTGAGGGTTTCTATCAGCTATGAGCCTAAGAGAATAAAACTATGACAGAAAGTTTTGTTTTTGAAATTCTTCGTGTTGGACAAGATGAAACCAAATGTTCAAAATGTCCATTTTGGGCATTTTGGACTTACCTCCAGCAGTTTCTGTACGTCCCATGCTTGGCCTGGGGGTCTGTAGCTGTTGTAATGGTCCGGTCCGTTCTGAGTAGGGGCATCGTGGACTGTAATCTGAAATCATGAAAGATGAGAAGGTTAAAACCACTCCAATAAATGTTTGGGTGGAAATCCCTGGTAGGACAAGAACTGCTAAACACATTTCATATGGTGCGCTGAGTGGGGTTCGAACCCGAGTTCAGGCTGATGAAAGATAAAGAAAGTACCATGACTCAGATCAAATTCTCCCTACCATCAAAACTAAACGGTTTATAGATTCCTGGTATGCATTTTCGTCAGCACTAGGTAAGTTTTTTGGGTTAACAAAAGCCTCTACAATGCACGCAATTGTAGACAAGTACACCTGTTCATCCGAGGATGGCAAGTCTTGAAATTGCTCATGACAATTGAATAAACAACCAAGGTCCTCCCTTCATTTCACAGGCCAACAAATTCCTGTCAACATTATTTCTGTTTCCATTGAACTATAGACCCATTTCTTTTTTAAATAAGGAAACATCAGCCACATTTCAGGAGGGGGTGTGTGTCTGCTGAGGAATCCCCTGAGAAATACCAACCTCCTTGACTTCGAATCCAAAACCATAATAGCCTGGCTCCCACTCGGTGTCCCGATAGATTGGGTCCACTCGGTCTATCAGGCTAATCTGAAGTAAGCAAAAAGAACTCAAATAAACAAAGCTGAGGGGGTTGGTTGCACTGCAGTGATAGTTACATCTCTTGTCAGGTCCATCACAAGTTCCTCCAAGTCATCCAGTCTGTAGCCAACTCACAAGCCATTCAAATGAACGGTGACAAAAGCATTCCTTTGCCGTTGTTCGCTGCCATTACTCATCATTGATCGTGTGAAGTGACTTGTGGAAGGGCTAGTGGAGGGCTTGTTATGGACCCAACTACAACACTGGTAATTGCATTCCTGCAAGTCCACCGTATGTCTATCACAAGTCATCGAATCTGAAGCCAAGTATAAAGTATTCAAATGAACCGTGACAAAAGCAATCCTTCATCACTGCTCATCCTACCACTTGTGAAAGGACTTCATTCAAAATCTGATGACGAAACAAATGACAAATGATAATCACATCATGTCAATACCTTTTATGGTATTTTGGACAAGTTATCCATACCCTGCACAGGACAAGTGCTACCTAAACCTGAACTCCCCCTAGCCCCACAAAATGACATTTTTTACATTATGGATTGAGGGCCATTCAATAATCTACTGTTCATAGTTTATCATTCCAAACTTCTAGGTATTTACTGGCAAAATTAGGTATTTACTGGGTGATAGCTGATACAAAACCAAAAATGGATTACAGGGCCATTTACCCTAACCCTCCTCAATCCTTCATCTGTTGGAGGACTGAGGAGGGTTAGGGTTAAAGCATTAATTCTTCTTTATCTTGACTGAAATATTCCAAAATTCTAACACCAAATATGTCATGGAGTAAACCAAGATCGTGTTGTCAAACAGACAGCTAAGGAAAAGCCACTAACCAAGTAGCTAATAGTCTGAGGTGTGTTACTCTGTCCCATCACCTCGTGGAAATGGTAGTCAGCAGTGAGCAGTAATGGACAGGTGTTATACCGTGGCGGCGTTCTCTTCGTGCGACTAGATGTATCTAAAAAAAAAAAGCAGGGAACCCTCAACATTTACGATGTGATTTGAGTTTTAATTTTGAGAAGGTGAAAATGAGGTTTTAAACCAAAGACCACCTATAACTGAGTTTGATCGGCCACCTTTTCGTCAACCACTGAGCAGTCATACACAACATGTAACCTGTGAACCAGCCATTATTGTTGAATGGCTAACAAGTGATCATGATGCAAACTAAAGCTTTGATAAACAGAAGTCCTAAGGAAGGTAACTTACATTGGCTTGTGCCTGTTTTCCTCGGCATTTGTTCAGCTGTCTTTTCATACTTCACTCCCTTTGGTAGGTGGTGATCGTAGGGACAAAATGAAGACCTGGAACCGGTAAGAAAAATATTCAGAGACTTTGCCACTAGATAAGGAGAACTGAAAGAGGAGATTATTAATAATGCTTGATGAATAAAGCCAACATGTAGGAAATAGACAAGGCAACGAAGTCCAGTCCTAGCAGTTCTCTGTCCTAAATAACTAGGCCGGGTGACCAGTCAACAAAAACCCCATTTTTCTTTTCAATTTGTGTCAGGCTATGTGCACGTATGTAGCTGGAAAATGACTGAGGAACCTTCAATATTCAAACCCAGTCCCATCACTTCCCGAAATTTGATGTTTCTACCAAAGATGAATATGGTATCAAAGAAGTCCTCCCACTAAGGAACTCCATTTATCCATCATGATGATCAGATAAAACCTACTGGAACTCCTCCAAGTTTTTTTTTTTAGTGCAAAACTCCATTTGACCTGATACACACAAAGCCCGTAGACTTTGACCTCGTTTCAACACACAATTTTGATCTTGTATTTAAATGTGATGCTTACGTTTCATTGCGTTTCACATCAGAGCTACGGTAGGCGATCATGTGAAAGTCATGCGGCTCTCTGATGTGTCTCCATGATGGCTGTGCAAGACGGATAAATTTATATGTATTTAACCATAAAACATGATCAAAAGTCAAAGAAAAAAGTCACGAATCACAATCCAATCAAGACAACACTTTAGCAAGAAATACAAAGTCAAGAAAAAAGTAAATACTCATTTTTTTTGGTAAAGAAGTCAGCCAACACAAGGCCCCAAGAGGCCACTCAGGGTGAGGGCTAAATAGCAAAGTTAAAGCAGAGAACTGAGAGCCTAGGACTTTTAGAAGGAAGAAAGATAACTGTTGATGTTTCGTTTGAACTGAGACAGGTTTATAACTAGCAGGGAAACAGGATGCAGGTAAGGAGTTCCAAAGCGAGGCAGAACATGGAAAGAAACCGGGGGGAGTACCTCGCAGTATTGGTTTTAGGAACATTAACTTTTTATAGATGAGTCAAGTATAAAAACGTGCAGTGCGACCAATGGGACGATTTGGTGGAATTAAAGCAGAAACGCCAGTGGAGCACCTTCCGTGATAGAACAGGGGACAGAAATGCTACAGAACAACAGAGTGATAGAGGTTCAAGGAATGCAGTCAGATCGTGTCCCACCAAATTAACAACACGCCGCTGGATTCTGTCTACCAGGGACGGATGACAGGCTGGAGTCCCAGCCCATACATGACTACGTCACTCCATGACAGGACGTATTGTGGACTTGTACAAGTAGAGAATGGAAGTAGGGGGGGTAATGTTGTGCATGGTACAAACAACCAAGGCACAGGGAGTCCCTTTGGGCAACATCACATATGTACTTGTCGTGAAAAATTATCTAGAAAATAAAACAGAGAAGTGAATTTCAATTTCAAAAAGAAGAAAGAGAACAAGAATGGGAAAAAAAACAGTAAAATTGAAGTCGTTTACAGTCTGGTTTTGCTTACCTCTATATTATAGTGCTCTTTCTTTGCATAGATTTTTGCGGTGAGCAATCCCTCATCTACGTGAGCTTTCACTACAGTCTCTGGTTCATCTAAGAAGATCAAACCATTGCAAGTCTGTTCATATCTCTCTTACTATATTTGGAAATATGGTTTTGTATCATACAAACTTACTTTAAGTATGTAAAAGGTTTTGAAGGATCTGAGGAGTGAGGACGAGTGCCTTATTTATGACATTTGACTTTACCTTCCAGATATCCTGTGTAGAAACTCTCGGTGTCAACAGGGGATTCTCTCTTATTTCCCTGGCTGTCAACCACAAAGGCTTTGAAGTCATGAGAGAATAGGTTGGTCTGCGGGGCAAGACGCATGTCAAATTGCCTTCCAAACAGAAGAATGTTTCAAAGCTAAATGAGTATGATCAAATCTTTCAAAACCAGTCTATACAGACTACGGTGTAATTCATCGGACATATGACAAATTATCTTTGTATTTTTAACCCTTAGTAGGAGTAGAAAACTGTTTAAAATTTCCAAAAATCTATCACTGTGTAGTAACTTGGTGGAATATTCTTCGAACAATTTACATAAAAATAACATTGAAATCTGTCGAACTATACATTTCCAAATTCATCAACATATGGCAAAACACTCAGATCTTGATTGATCCAAGACACATTTATCTTGTGTCACATCATGACAAAGTGTCATGGTGATTTTGGGAAGTCCTGCAAGCAATTTCTGATGATCCACACTGCTGTGGAAAGGCATGAGAGGCATAATCTTCACTCTGAAATAATATGAATGCTCTGCTTTTGTTGACAAAGACAAATGTAGACATCTAGTTGTCTTAAATACTGACTGAAACCTTGCGTTGAGCCACACATTACGTCAACAGAAATGAAAATCCAGCCTGAATTTAAAGACACACCTTCCCACCTGTACATATACACCTGCTTCATACCATGCTCAATAACAGGAAGTATTCCATTTGATGTTTGAGTTATTTTTATACACACTTGCTCACATCCTTAGTGAGGAAGTAAGGGAGCTGTGGTAAATGGCAGTCATTGGTGATAGACACAGTAGGCCTACTGTGCAGTGACTAAAACCACAATCTGCATGCAACAACCTACATTACTGTGCTTGATTGTTGGAGGCCCAACTGAGTCATTAATTTTTATTTTGGTACAGCATACTTTTGGTGTTTTTAAATGTATGTTTCCTTCGGACATTAAGTTTGCCCAACAATGTCTGAATCTTGGCCAGACAAATACCAAAGTGGTCAGACAATGCCCAATATCCCACTATAATGTATATTCTGCTTTTTATCAAGGCTGAGAGACACTGATTCCCCTTTGGGTAGAGACCTGATCACAAGGGTAGGGTGCTATGGGAAAAGGGATGACAATCCACATCTGTTTATATACAGGTAATTCCAGAAATTAGGGGTCCAAAAGTGTGACATTTTCATGTCCCTGTTCCATCTGACCTTTGTTATTTGTCATGAAAATATCACCAGAATTGATCTCATACTACTAGTATTTGTTTGGCAGCTAATTTGCATTAATTCATCACTCTTGGAACATGAAAAACAAAGCTGAAAACAGCCAGCAAAAAGCTAAAAATTCTAAAGTTCCCATCATTTTTTACAGAGCAGGTGTACAAAAGTTGAAATTCAGAGTAAATAATCTAAACCAAAAAAGCTCAAATCAACCCCAAAATTGCACTGTCAAACTCCTATAACGTACCTTCCCATCACTGACAAGGACACTTTCCTCTCATGATTTCCACCTTCTTCCACACTTCTCCTAACGACATGATGCTTGACATCATCTTTGTGAATCGTTTCCCAGTATGTCAGCACATGGTGTAAACTTGCTAATGAAGGGCAGACAAAGGGAAAAACTGGTATTTTACTGTTTTAAAGTCTTGCACTTTTGCTGGTAATTTCTTGGCTAAAACCTACATGCAGGGTTGTTACTTGCAATCATGGAAATGGCAGTCGTAAACTGTGCTATTTGAGATTCCCCACAATGCTTTGCTCTTCCTGTCAAACTTTAAACATCTTTTATATTCATACAGAATTTAGTCATAAAGAAAATCGTCACAGTAATTATAAAAATTTGCCAAGGTAAATCAATGGTGATTTGTAATGACAATGTTTTCATGCACGAAGTAAGCTTCACCAAAGCTCTATTATTTTTGCGTTAACTTTTTTCATCAGCTAAACTGTGCTTTTCGCAGAGGCAACACACAAGACACAGTCGCCGTTGCCATACTGTTGGAGTCTATCGTAGATCTATTTCTGATGATTATTTTGGAAATTGCTGTGGTAATTATAAGATTTGCCACAGCAAAGGAAATTTTTATTGGCAATATTTTCACGCATGAAGTAATTTTGGCAAAACTCCATTTTTTTTGTGTTAACTTTTCTTCATCAACTGAATTCGCATGGACAGGATATCCAGTGTAATTCTTTTTGTAATGCGCACCCAGTGGCCAATACACACGACATAGCCGCCATGACCATTGGAGTTTATGGTAAATCTATTTCTGATGGCTATTTTGGAAAATTGCCATGATTACCATAACATTTTTAATGGGAAGTGATGGAGATTTTTATTGGCAACATTTTCATGTACAAGGTACACTTTGGCAAAACTCTGGTTTTTCGCGTTAATGTTTTCCTCAGCAGAACTGAACTCGCCTACCCACCAAATTCAACACCTCCAATGCAAGATTTGACCGAAAAATCCCCTCGATCTGGTTTTAGAGATTCCAAATAAAAGGAAAGTTTCATTTAAATATGGGGTTGCACTCGTAGCACATTTCCTGTAAATTGGCTCAGCCGATAAAGAAATCAATGTCATCTACAAACGATAACCTAAAGTACTTCAAAAATTATGTCACCATTGCACAATCAAGTGGCACATTGTCTAGCATTGTTGCTAGATTGTGATTCAGTTCCCGACCTCATGAAAACAATATACCATCCCCCTGCCTCCGAAAATGGTCAAATAAAAAGCAGAAAATTTGGTTAAAAAGCAGAGTTTGCATAACCAGATGAACATTGCAAAAAGAAAAACTGAATTCAAACCATAGCATTAAATGTGGGGATTGTAAATTTGGGAACCCTGTTCTAATAATAGAAGAGAGAGCTACAGTACATTTTAAGTTGTGAATTTACCTTGGTAGATGACTGTGGCATCATGCTCAATAACTATAAAATACGGTTGATGATGTGAAAACAGGGCAGGGTTTGGAGTTTTGAGGGAAATTATGGGGGGAAGGGGACCCCCCCAGTTTTTTACATTTCTTGCAAAACTGGTGAGTCCGCTCCTAAAAAAAAAACAAAGGAAACTCTCTCTTTATTGCGCTGACCCTACTTTTTTTTAGAAATTTCATATTGTAAATTGAGAGAAAATTTTACTTTCTTACTGATAAACGAACCATTCAAAGTTGAATCCACCACCTGGCATGTGTTGAAACACTCACAGTTTTCCCTCATATTTTCCCTCAAAACCCAAAAACCCTGCCCTTTTTTGACAACATTAACAGTTATTGAGCAAGATGTCACAGTCATCTACCAAGGTGAATTCAAAAGTTAAAATGTAGCTCACTCTTCTATCAAAGGAACTGGGTCCCCAAATTTATAATCCCCTTTCATGCCTTTAGGCTTTACAATTTAAAATTTCCAAAAAATAGGATCAGCGCAATAAACCATGGAAACAGAGTGTTACCTTTGTTTTGGGGGGACTTACCAATTTTGAAAGATTAAAATGACAAAAAATGGGGGGTCCTAAAGTATACGATCCCCTTTACAATGTAGCGTGATCAGGTGATTACTAATTAGAATCCAAGACAGGAAAATTTTATTTCGAAAATAGGCCTAGGGCCTAGCCTACTTAGGCAGTAGGCCTACATGTATTTTTCAGTCCCAGATACACACTATTTCACCATCATGACCATTCCAGCAATGACTGACCTTCATTGAGATCCATAACTAATGAACAAAGTAGAAGTAGGATGCAACCTTCTTTGCAATTAAATTATTGCCCAAACTGCAGTGTCGGGATTACACGCTAACTGGTAAGTACTTCATAGGAACAAACTTGCAACTCGACTGTACAATTTAACGCACGACAGGTTTCCAAAACTGACTTACCATTTGTTTTAAGCACACTGACAGCGACTAGTAGCAAAGAGAAGAGAACAAATACTAATTTTGATGCCATGATGATTCATAAATATACAAAAATAATGCGAAAAAGGATGAAAACCCTTTAAACTCGTTTAAAACTAAAACTAAAGTCTTTGGACGTGAAAAACAAGTGAGCGTCGGCCATGTTTTGACTGGCTTATTTGCATAATGGTCAAAGGTTAAAAAGTTTCCGTTGCTCAGTCAATTATTTATTCAGGAAAGACCTTATCAATTAAAAATTGCTCTCCTTGGGGACCCGAGGAAGAATACAAGAAATAAGATGAGGGAGGAAAACGAGACGAATACTCTAGGGAAACTCTGTGGACTGAGACCCCCAATACGCATGTCGACCTGGGCAGGATTTGAACCCAGGCCGCAAAGGCAGAAGCCAAGGAAAGTACCACTGCACCACCTCAACACCCCTGATCAGATAAACAATAACCCCTCAACAGTCCATTGTTGTTCTCTTCTTTCAGAACATTGGTCTTTTTAATAAGGAAAAAACAACCATTGCCTGCTGGGAAATCAATATTTTTCTGGGTAATGGTGACTCCAGTTTTATGAGATATGTAGTGAATTCCTGAACAGCTTTAGCGCTGCAGTCCTGCCCTGGTTTTTTTTAGAGGTCGGTTAATCCCCCTGTTTGTTCAGAGCTGCGGCTTTTATAATTGAATTCAATGGACAGGGTAGGGCTCTTCATTCCAGCAAAGTAGTATAAAAGCTTAGTGCATGCAGAATGCAACACACTCCTTCGCTGTGCAGCCGAGCTTCCACAAGTCACTGGTCCACTACTTCATCTAGCAGCCATTTCTTCTTAGTTTAACTTGTGTCCAGATGCGGGGATAGGATCTGATTAGGCAGTGTTTTCTCCCTACGCTGACTTCCCGCGGAAGGACACATTTCCTTAGTATTAATCATTGTACATATTAAATCTTCACTGTTTCGTCGAGTCAAGAAGCGGCCGGAGAAGACCGAGACTGACGTTTTTCCTTTAGGGGTAATTATTTCTATCTTTATTTAATTAAATGAAAGACCAAACCTCTACAGATATCTTGTATAAACCAGTTATTCCAAAGGACAAGAAGAACCAAACTTAAGAAGGAAGCCACTATGCAGTAATTTTACACAAATAAAAACAAATAGTTTGCTATATAATGGGGGACATTATCGATAATTCAGACTTTTAAAAGTTGCTATTTCTTCTACCCTAAATTTGAGGTATCATTACGAAGACGGATAATGTAAACACGGTACATAAAACTCCCGTCTCAAGAGAACAGTTGCACATCAACAAAATGTCAATGCCTAAATTTCCCACTTAAACCATTTACCTCCAGTTAGTAACAATCAATGAAAGAACCACTCATACATTGGATATCATCTACCTTTGTAATTTTAATACAGTCATTCTTAAACTCAATAAAATCCAGCAATTGAAAATAAAATCCAGTGTTTCCTTTATAAAAGTGTGACTAATATTTTTAGAAAGAATGTTTATCCGGCCTGACTCCACTTCAACGGTTGTACATGAAGTCTATGGGAGGTCAAGGAAAATTTCAAAGTATTTCCTAACAAATTGGAAATATTTCTCTGTCTGAGATTCACGTCTTTTCACTTCAGCATTTCTGAGATGACTGACCTTTACTGAAACGACATCAAAATGAAAAAAGTGGAGGCAGGATGTGACATTCTTTCCGTGTCTTTGACAAGTAGTCTCTTTGAACCGGAAACATATAATGTTTTGCATATAAGCAATGCATCCTGTCTTTGTATTCCTATGAATAAAAGCAAATTTTATCACTGCAAACAGACACAAGATGAACCTCAGATGTCTGGAGGATTTAATTAATTGGATACTCTTTGAGATTTCAAGAGTTTGTAATCTCCGGGAGCTCTGATTGTCCTTGGGAGACAGCTTTGATATCATCAGAGTATGTAATTTGCCAGCTCTTGAAATCATCATGACGATCGCGTTGAGTACATATCCTTGTCCTCTGGGTTTGACATTCCATGATCACCAGAGGGCGATGATTCGATGATGCTTTCCTTAGATGTGGGTGTCTCGTCTTCCACAGAAGTTGGACCATTTGATTCAGCATCTTTCTTCTATATATTAAAAAGGGAAATATAGAAAGCACTTGTACTGAAATATTCAAATGTAATGTTTACATGTAATATTCCTCCAAAATGTTTGAGACGTACCAATGGTTGTATGAAAACACTGATATGGAAAATCTAACTTTCGCAGAACCCTCAAATCCATCAGAAGAATTTAGAGGATTTTGTGGGACTGAGGAAGGTAACGAACATCCTCACTACTTTCCTTGATGTCTCTTGATAAGTTAGGTCCAAAGAATAAACCTTTTTGATACATTTTATTAGTTTAATAAATATGAAAATTTGCTAGAAGTCTTTAACTGATTAAAGTGCCTTAGTTTCATGCGATGAGGCCAAATGCCACGACTGGTGATTGATCGTTTATCTTGACAGCCCTAACCTTGCTATCTCCTTGACTCATTTTTTCCATGACCCGACCGGTGATTCCACCACCTATGCTGTCATTCCAGAAACCCCGTAGTGCCTGGTACTCTGCCTTGGTGATCTCTACAGCCTGGTAGGGATAGCAGATGGACGCTGTGGCCGACATCAGAGCACCAGAGTAGAGAACTTTACGGAATACTCCACCTGGGATGCCATCCAAAAATGTGAAAAACTGATTTACTAGAATTAGAGGACAAATCGACTGGCACGGAATTTAAAGAAAGTTGTATAGAGGAAAAAATGGGCTGAAGCAGGATTTGAACAGGGTTCAATCTACAAAATTCTCATTTCATGACAATCACTATGTGGTGAATAGACTTAAAGAGAAACCCCAATAGAGACAGAATACCTAGATGCAGGATACACGCATGCACGAGACCAACCACTCTTTGAAAATCCATGAAATATTTCAGCTTTAAATGAATCACTTTCCCTGTTGTGGTGAAGAGAGATTTGTCACTAGCCAGTAATCCATCAGCCAATTTCATGAAACTTGATGTAACTTTGCTTTACGTTTAAGCCTCAACCGCATGCTGTCGGGTCTAAATTGAAGTTGCACGACAAGTTCCCAGAGGATTTTCAAGATTTTCCGTTTCCAAAATTCTTCAAAAATTCATAACTTCATTTACTGGACATTTACAACTCACATGAACGACTGTATGGTGGCTACTCTAATCTGACAAGAAACATTTATTGACGCCCAAGTATTTCAGCCAGGCCTGCCGCCTTTTAAAGAAAGTCCAGATTGTGCGGTGTTGCGTAATTTTCTTTTGTTCCCCAAACTGGCCCAGTGCACTGCTGGCATCTTTTCAAATGCGGCTAGTTTAGTATGCAGCGGTATTGTATCGCTCATCATTGGAGTGCTGGAGCGCTTTTGTCCCCGGTTGTAATCTGCTCGCACTGAACGCCACAAATAGTGGTTTACTGTTTCAAAACAATGACGGATTACCTCCACGATTGACAACTGAAAAATGTTTGCAATTCCCAGCAGCCCGGTCTTTCATTCCTAGTACCATCTTTTGTCACAAGGTCCAGCTCCTTTGTCAGATTTCGGGCAGCCCGGCTGTGCGTACAAACCTAATGTCTCCGGTACTGGGCACCCCAGCGTAAAGTGGTGAAGCAAAGAATTCAGGCCATAACTCTGCAATTTTGAGCATTTCAATCAGATAAAGACGACCTCAGCTTTTACAACTGGTCTTTCTTTTCAAAATTAAAGCAATCATTGAACAGTCAATGATCCTAATGGCGGTAAAACGTTTTTGTCTGATTTTCATTACCTCCAAAAAAATGAAGTGTACGTTTCTCACATAAACCATGTCAAGTTTAGCATTTATGAGCCTTAAGCAAACATGAGTACTTAGTCAAATTGCTCATTTTCGACTTCTTCAGCACAGCTTCCACAACCTAAAAATGACTACAAAATTTGTCATATGTTGTAGAAGTCAAAACTTAGGCAGCGGGTAACTTCCTTGAAATATGCCATTCTTCGTTGCAAAACTTGCGCAATAAAACCTTGTGTACATGAAGTTACAACGTTGCGTATGAAGCTTCATGAAATCAGCTGCAGGAGTACCTTTGACAAGTGAGCTTTTAAACCACACAACTTTCTATTTCCTAATTTTGAACCACTCCCTTTTAAGCCCAAAAGCTTTGTCATTGGAACAACTGTACTGAATTTTCAAGTCACCAGTTACAAACTTCACGTGAGAAAATTCCAAACAAATGTAAATGACGACCTCCTCAGCAGTGATGCTAATGGCAGTGAATGAAAATTTTAGCTTTGTCATTGGAACAATTCCAAACAAATGTAAATGACGACCTCACCAGCAGTGATGCTAATGGCAGTGAATGAAAATTTGAATCATACCTTTCCTTGCTAGAACCACACCAGTCAGACCAGCCAAAGCGATAGCAGTCACTCGTGGGAAGAACCCTTCCTCTGTCTTGATGTATGCAATGATGTCTAGGAAAACAGACCACACAAAAATGAAACTGCAGGCCCACTAACAGCAACTCCCTCCAAACTTTCCTGAATCCTCCAAATCCACCACTGTACAGGAAACCAATGGAACATCCTTCATGCCAGAACTTCCACAGTTCATCCACTTCCGTGTAACAGTAAGAATGGCTTGATTCTACCGTTATCAATCCTCTACAAACCTCCCAAATCTCTCATGAATTCTGAAAGCTCTGAATTATTTTGGGATAACTTATCCTTTCAAATCAAATGTTTGTAACCTCTCTCTGACTTCATTTATCTACGAAAGGGCAAACTTGTGAACAAAACATCAACAGAACTATAATGCAGGTCATACAAACAAATTTTAAAGCGCTAAGTTCCTGCCAGACACAACAGTCATTTTCCAGGTAACGGACATGACAGCTACAAAGCACCTGACTGGTTGATATCTATATGTAAAAAAGACAACTTTTTTGTACATTTCTTGTATACACACCCTTTTCTGCCTGTTCAGCATATCTGTAGGCTTGTTTTGTTTTGTTAACAGCACCCTATTAGAAAATTCAAAGCAAAAACCACCAAAATTACTGAATTATATATTTATGTTTATCTGTATTTGTTTTTTATATGCCCTTTACTTTTAGTAAAAATAATACTCAAGTTACTAATTATCAAAACTAATTTTAAAATGCACAGTAAGGCATTATAATTTCAAATCTTCATTATCTAGTTCCACATTCAAAACTTGGATCTAGTCATAGGGGAAATAGATTACAAAGTGCCAATATCTCCAGTATTTATTGTTAATTGGGGGGCAAACTCTTCTAACCCTATTACCTGGATTGACCCAGAAAACCTCCAGACATTCTGCCGAACAATAGAAACTGCCTGGTACACATAGCCAGTGGTGTCTAATGGTTCTAACCGGTACTCCGCTTTGCTGCCAGGCTCATCGTAAATAGGCAACTCCTTTGGCAAGACTGTTTTCCGTCTCAGCTCCCTTGGATTTGGAACAGCCTCTGCTTTCAGCACTGGAATGCCAATGGCGAGGCTAACACAGCCAGCCATTGGCAGTGCTGCTAATTTCAATAGCTGCCTCATCTATTAAAAAAAAAACACATTTGGAAGAATACATTTCTAATTATCTAGAGTAGGCCTAGTACCAATTTTACTGAAGGCATGATTAAAAAGATCTGTCATTTTGTACCCAGCCAAAAGTTGAAAAGATGACAGTGTCTTATTTGTATGAAGTTCAAGGAATCAAAATGCAGCAAAGACTTTGGGTTGGACCTACAGGTCCTTCGTTTACTCCTTAGTCAATTAATTTGGTGTATGTCCAAGCATCCTTGGGCATGGAGAAAGGTCAGTACTTCTCCAGCACGGTATTCCTAACAATAACTAACAAATGTAACATAACTAAGGTTACTATGATAACAAGGCTCATCCATATCCTAAAGCTAAGCATGCCAAGTAAAACTTTTAGCCTGTAGAACTAGACTTAATTAACTTGACCGTGTTGACACAACCCAGAGAACTGTGGGGTCCATCAGCCACCACGCTCCACTGAAGAGCGGCAGATGACGAACCCCACAGATATGGGGGTAATTTGAGGCCATAACAGCACTACACTCACATGCACAATTATTATTCAGCATGACGATGCATGCATTTGGCATGTACTAGGGTATTTAATTTGGCATACATGTACATGTAAGACTAGGGGCATGTATGTAGGACACACATGTAGCACTTGTCCACAAGCGTTGTGGCTTCTATTTCTGTTAATGACATGGCATGCTGCCTGGGCCAGGCCAGCTCTCAGGGAGCACGGTGGACGACGAACCCCACTACCAGGTCCCAGTTCTGTACCTCTATGGCATGTCTGGGCCACTGCCAGTATAGTCTGGTGTGGGGTTCTAGGAAAGTAGGATATGGAATTAACTTAGCACATTAAATAAGGCCTACATTCATGTAAGTCAAGTAGGTTCTAATTCCATAAGTTTAACATATTTCTGATTTTAATCTAAGCTGAATTCTCCGTTTTTGGACAGAATGAAAAAAGCATGTAACTGAGTAGTGATAGTGCGTACCTGTGCTGCTGCCATTTTCAGATTTTGCATAGTTCTTGCAACGTAGAGCGCCGCCAACGTTGAAAATTTACACTATCATCGGGTACCCAAAACTATGGTTTCGTAATACCTTACGTTAATGTGTATAGGAGTAGGGTAGCACACTTTCATTTCTCTACGTACGTACGTACAGTACGTCTCTAGCTCTACGTACGTACGTGCGAAATATTATCGCTGGTACACGTATCGCAGTAATGCGATGTGTGCACTTGACGTGGAAGATATAAGAGCAATCAAGATGCCAGCGAAAAGTGATGGTCACATATCACACACAGTAGACAAGTGCATGTATTGCACAACACATGGGCCGCGTGGGTTGCTTATTTTTGCTAGTCGGAACGCAAACCCCGCGTTAAAAGTTTAGAAAATCGCAGTGTCATAATAAACATGGAGTATTTGGAGCAAAATCTGACGAGTACCCAAGGCATCATGTAAGTTCAGTAAATTGGTGAAAATACTGAAATGCATTTGCATTATTTATTGCAATGATTGATATTTACCTGACATTGCTGGGGCATGTTGGGCATTGGCACATGATTGGGGTTTGAGAATCAAATATTCACCATCCATATTCCCGATTTTGCATGATCATGATCAAAGAACGTATAATGCCGCAGGCACAAGATGGGTAACTCTGTCCAAAAGGTGTAATTACCATGGGCGCTATTTGAGCAAGCGATACGCCTGCACAGTTCACGGTAATACACTGGCGCAGGCACTCAAGCTTTGCGTGCCTGTTGTGGCGTTAACGTGCACTGTGCAGTTGTATCGCTTGCTCAAATGGCCCCATGCGATCACAACTTTTATGCGTATTCACGGTGAAGTTCTCCATCTTGCGCCATTATGCAGCGCTATACGATCTTTGGTCATGATTATGATGACGATGCGTACTGGTATCAGGGTGTTCATTATCATTACTGTTTCTACAATAAGGAAAGCAAAGTTCACTTTTTCAAATTAACTGACATTCAGACCTTGAGGACCTGTTCCTCAAAGTAGCTGTAGTTTAGGTAAATTTTGACAATATTTAAGCAAGAATGCCAGAAATTTTACCTGAGTTCAGTGAAAGACGACTGAATCATGCCATTTTGTTTCACATCTTGTTACCCGACCCAGCCATTGTGGGTTGGCCTATACAAAGTTTCATAAAAGAAACTTTTATGGTTCCAGGTGAAGGAGCCAGACTACATGCGCTGATTCGTTGTCATTCACAGCTCTCCGTCGCATCATTTATGCTGCCATTTTACCCCATAATATTCCATAAAAACTAAATCCCTTCCCTCTTTTCTTTCTGATATGAAAAAGGACATCATCACCAACTTATTTAGGTACGTTGTTTCGAAAAGGTAGACTTTATTTCCTTATTATAGGAATAGGGTGCTATTGGTAATGAACACCGGTATCAGGACATCTCATACCCGGGACAAATTGTACCTACTTCCCGAACAACAAAAAGTGAGGTTCTTTCTACAATCCTTACCTCCCATCCCTCGACGATCTGCACACATCCATAGCACATTCTCTGTGGCCCGTACGTCACGTGACAAAAACAGGCACAATGAGCCTTTATGTTGCTTTGGATACCAGTCCCCATAAATCTGTGGTCAGGGAACCACACCAATCACATATCGGGTCAACCATTTTGCAAGCGGGGGGCGGCATGATGTGATACATGCTGCATTGTCAAGCTAGCTGTTTACACACATTTAAAATGTTTGAGAAATATGTACTTCATGGAGTGATAATATTTTGCAAAGATTTGGTTGTGAAGTTGTGAGACTACTAAAGTTTCTGATTTCCACGCAATTCAGGGATTTGTTTATTGCAAAATGGTCGAGCTGATTTGTAATTTGTGTGGGTTCCCTGACCACAGATTTCCCAGACGTCTCTATACATAATCTTAGCGGGAGTAGTCGGAATTATGGGGACTGGTGTACAAAGCAAAATACATGTTCGTTATGCGAACATGTCGCGCCTGTTTTTGTCACTTGACGTGGGACCATGTGCAGAGAATGCACTATGGATGTGTGTGGATGGTTGAGGGATAGGTAAGGATTGTACAAAGAACCTCACTTTTTGGCTAATAATATAATGGGTTAAGTGCTACAAAATTTAATGACGGAAGTTCCTTATGTTAGCTATTATTAATAAGGTCTTCAGGGGAAATTTTGCTTAAGCAAGCACAAACAGATGTGTTATCTGGTAGGCTAACAGAGCAGCTTTCAAAATGCCATAGCGTGCGGAACTATAAAAAAGATTATTTCGGTAAGGTCTGTGGAGTAGTACCTTACCGTTCGGGAAGTAACTCATACCCAAAATTTCACACTCAGGACAACTCGTACCCGAGTCAACTCGTACCCGGGACATTCCATAGGCCTACCTGTAGGACAATTCATACCCGGTAATAAAAAATACACTTTGCCTCCAGATAATGATGCCAGCAATAGAAAAAAAATGAGCCCTCTCACTTGTGGGAGTTGACGACATCACAGCTACATGTACACAGCGCATATGGTGTTTCCTCGTATCAGCTTACAAGTCACAGAGTGACTATATCCGTAGTCCAAATCACTTGGACTCTACAAATCTCCTCTTTTAACGTTTGGACATGGTCAGGGACAGTTGAGTGCAAGCATGCCAAGTACCCTCCATAGGCATTCCCTTCCATTAATTGATTTCAGAAAACTTTCACTCAAAATAGCTTGGTACATTGTCATATACCAGATCAAAATCCTCAGAATTCACCAAGTTGGTCCTTGAACTCCCTAATGTACCCACGTTAGGATTCAGCGGGAATCAGAGATACCAGTGAAGGTGGAAAGGGTTACTCACTTGTGGGAAGAAAAGAGGAATTTCCTGTTCACATCAAAAACGCTATTGTTGGCCGAGCGTGAAATTGCCATCTTTTTCATGCAGTGATTCAAACTGTATGCTAATGTACCTGGAGACGACATTGTGATTCGCTGGCTGAGCTGGCAGACCATTCGCAATAAGAATATGTGCGTTGTCTACACATGCATGCTGATGACTGTTTGCTGAGCGCCACGTCTAATGTACAACTCTGTGGTCATAACTACTGAAAGTTGTGCTACTCAGGAAACAGCCGTCAGCACACACATGCAACATCGTTCTGCACACCGACAGTGGGCATTGTGAAGTACATCTGGACACATGAACACAATGTCATATGTTCCATTGACCTTTTTACCTCTCATATCTTACCTCCATTTCGCTTCTGTCCATCCTGTCACAGTTTGTGTTGCCAGTGTGGAACTCCCATCCAGCCAAACCCAGCAAACATGTGCGTTGCTTGCCTTCGCACACAGGTTGACATTACCGAAGGCATCCCCAAACAAGCTGTGCTGTATTTCTGTAAATCATGTGAACGGTATGTTCTGAAGCTCAATTTGATGAAAGTTCCTGAAATGCTCAGTCTAGTCATTAACCCTTACCCTCCTCAATCCTTCACCTGTTGGAGGACTGAGGAGTGTTAGGGTTAATACGTTAGTGTATCCTGTATGCTCAACTGTAGCACGCCCCTATTGATGTGGCATCCTCAAATTTCACTTTAATTGAAATTTTTATCAAGCTCTCAACATTCTATTCAAAAATCTTGGCTCAACAAAACCGCTACAAAGTTTGAATTGCAGGTAGATTCTATGTTGCCTGATTTTCCTTTTTTTTATCAAAGTGCACAAGGAAATCTTTTGACTTGAGCCCCAAAATAAAAAATGATTTAATTAGAAAACATTAATGGGGTCCGTGAGTGGAGGTGATCATAATTTATCAGAATTCAATTCATTAAATTTTAAAAAAATATGTAAAGTTTGGTATTTCTGAGATTGAAGTGTTCCACGATAGGGACCTCCCAGCTGAATCCAAGACGCCACTGTTTGTCATGACACTGGAACTGTTTACAGAGGTCTATCAGGTATCAGTTATGGTATCAGTTATTTTCAATAAACAAGTTTGACAACACTGCATGTGTATATCGAGGGGAAATGCCAAAGTGCACCATGTTAGAGGACTCCACTATGCATATTATGGTCGGGCTCCATGTATTTACTTTGCATATTTGTTGCTACTGGTGGATCTGCTTTACTAATGGATCCCAGTTTGCATAATTGATTAATTAATGGGCATACATGTACATGTAGATATCTGATCATTTGGCTCAGGTACCTACAACCACCTGCCCAGTGGATTAAGTGTGCCTTAGAGTCACGGGAACTCCTGGCAATCTGCCTGAAGAAGCTGAAAGGACTGAGCAAGGTAAGGGCATCTGTAGTTACTTCTAGGGTACTGATAGAAGAAACCCTTATTTTTGGCTCTGACCAAGGGAAAAACTTTTTTAGGCCACTGACCCTATCTGGAATATCCTGCGAAAGAAAAAGTGAGAAAGACAATCAAAAGAATTACTGGGAGAGCATTTTGCAAAATTATTCTGTTGGTATGACTATTTGCAATTCACGATTAGAGGATTAGGAAGTTGAATACAGCTGCTGGCCATATGTTGTGTCAACAGGCAAGCCACTTTACCCTAATTTGCCTCTTTCCACTGAGGAGAATAAATGGATGCCGCCATAGATGGAGAGTAACTAACCCTTTTTCAGGGAATTGAAATATTCTCTGCAGTTTCGTGTCAACAAAAATGGAGAGAAGCACTGGTCATTCTCTGTCCTTTTCTATTTCCATCATTTCCATCATCTCTAGGTCAGACTTGTTGACGCCGGGTTCATCTGGACCGAGCCGCACTCTCGTCGCATCAAGCTGAAGCTGTCCATTCAGCGGGAGGTGATGGGTGGAGCTGTCCTGGAGCAAGTCTTTGTCGTCGAGTTTGTCGTCCAGACCCAGATGTGTCCCGACTGCCATCGTGTGGAGGCCAAAGACTTCTGGAAAGCTGTGGTGCAGCTCAGACAAAAGGTAGGCTATCAGAAAATCCACAGATCTGTAATTGAAGATAGAATCAGAAATGATTTTACCAGGATTTGTATCAATGTGTGAACTTCATATCTAAATTAGTTCAGACAGTTGAAAGCAAATTTGAGGATTCTTCTGAACATTACATTTTCAGTTTCAATAATTTTTGTCAAGAGGAAGTAAAATCTGATGGGATTTAAAACTTTTCCTGGTGAAGGTAGCAAGTTAAGTAATAGGTTTGCAGCAGCTCCATGCCAAAATATTTCCATGTGTGGTGCTGAAAAGAACATTCCCTTAGATGGGACACATGACTTAACAGGAGGTTATTGGGCAGTTCATGAATGTGTGTACAATGTTGAAGTCTAGATCCTTTTAAGACCATCACAAGACCTCCAGTCTTAATTCAGGTCACAGACTGTTCAAGTAAACTGCAACAAAAGCATTCCTTTGTCATGGTTCACCCTGTTACTTGTGACTTGTCATGTGTCTGGGTTGTGTCTTGTCTTGTGATGGTCTGGACTGCAACACTGCTTGTGTGTAACTACCTCCAAGCGAAGACAGTTCACAGTGTGAGTTCCTGACATCTCAAAACTCTCAATGCGCTTGTCTTTTCTCATCTCCCAGACATCGCACAAGAAAACATTCTTGTACCTGGAGCAGTTGATTTTGAGGCACAACGTGCACGTCAACACACTGAACATTAAGCAACATGACGGAGGACTGGACTTTTACTATGCCACAAAGGACCATGGTAGCAAGATGGTGGACTTCCTCATGGGCGTGGTGCCCTGCAGGTAAGCAACTGGTTACATGTCAAAAATCACAGTATTTTTTGTTCACATTTCCCCGTATAATCGTAGACCAGAGGGCTTAAATGCTACAGTGGATTGTGATATAAGCAGTGCCTTCTAGTTTTTAATAAAAGTCCAACCTCTCAACTACTTCTAGAAATCTTCATAACAGGCTTCGATAAATTGTCCTGGATACACCTCCCCACCAAACATTGCTGGCTGTGTTCCTGAATTGATGATTGACTTCTTTTATCTTCCAGGTACAAGACTTCTCAACAGCTTATCTCACATGATGTACACAACAACACCTACAACTACAAGTACACCTTCTCAGTTGAGATTGTGCCTATTTGTAAGGTCTGTTGGCCACTTGATAGCAGCTTTTATTCTCCACACCTTTCAGAAATGCAATTTCTCCCGCTAAAACTGATCTAGTTTTCTTGTATGGCTGAGGCTTCTTGTTACCTTAGTTGAATACGGCACTTTTGACTTCTGTTGAATGCCATTCATTTGAGCCAGAATACAGCAAATCACTTGGGCCTTTGTACGCTTTTTTGGAATTGTGAAAACTGCGACCATTGATCGATCTCTTGAACAATGTTCTTACATGTAGGACAACGTTGTTTGCCTTCCTAAGAAGCTGGCTCGCTCACTTGGCAACATTGGTCAGATTTGTGTCTGCACCCGTGTCACAGCTGCCGTACAGCTCATTGATCCACTCTCACTGCAAGGTAAGTCGTTTGGGTCAAGCAGTTACTGTAGTCAAGTACATTTTCATGAGTAGTAAAACTTTTTCCATAAGTTTAAATACTCTTCTTTGAGTGTGAGTACTCATCCCTGATTATGAGTACTTTTGCCACTACTTGGAGTATTCTTTCAAGAGTGTGAAATCTTATCCTACATTTATTGAGTAGTTTTCCTCGAGTATGAGTACTTTCCTTGAGTATTGCTTCTTTTTTAAACCAAAAAAAAAGGAGTAACTCATAATTCGGAACAGTTTGAGCAAGCTTTGATATGCCTTGCTCTTATTCTGTAATGGAAGGTCGTTAAACTAAGAACATGGTATTCCCGTCGGGAAGCTGCCATGTAGGTGCATAAAGTAGACCATTCCTGCGATGCATGAACATTCTGATAAAACGCTTATGTTTCAGTGGGAGTGGTCTAACGGAATGGGAATGCTGCTAACGTGTAAAATACTCCCTTAAGTACTTTTTTAATTCTGAGGATTCAGGGAGGCTTTTGATATACTTTTAGAAGGTGAGTCGGGCGCATAAGTGCTTTTCTTGAAGCTGATCAAACTTTACTTTCTTTCAACTCTTTTCTAGTGGCTGAGATTCCAGCCACTACATACTGGCGAAGCCCTTTCAATAGCCTTTGTGAGCCCAAGCAGTTAACGGAGTACACTGTGCTACAAGTGGAACGTATCGAAGAGAAAGAAAGACGTCATGTTGCTGGGGAAGGATCCAGGTCAAACAAGGTATGGCAGGCAAAAGAAACAAAATATTTCAAAAAAAAGCTTGCTGTATAATATATAATATACATTCATAAATACCTTTGATAGTGTCGCCATTACAGTTGGTTTAGAACCTTTCACATGGTCACTCATAAGGTGTTATTCATAAATACCTCAGACAGTCTCCCTATTCAACAACGTGCAACCTGGCTGTGTATTAACATTTGATAGTGCCTGCTGTGTGAATCACCTGTTGGCACTTAGATAAGAGACAGTTAATAGATTCTAATTGGTCAAGACTCTGTGTGCACACGGCTCACCATGCAGGCCAAGTCCATATAAGGAGATTCTGTTAGACAAATTGCACAGGGAATATACCATAAAATGGACAGGGTGTCCAGGAAAGTGCAAGTCAAATTCTAGAACAAAATTGTTGGAAATCTATCATATAGTGACTTCCTATGTGACTCCCTAACTAAAAAAAGATATTTATGAATGGGGATAAATGAATGAACACTGATAATGCTCGAGTCGCAGGCGAGGGCATTAGTTGAGTCCGTTCTCCTGCTGAGCCAGTCTTTAATGCACGTTTAAGACAAGCCAAACACGTATTTATTCCCTTAAAAACGCACCATCTGGCCGATAAAACCACTTTTGCATTGTCTGTGGAATTGAGACCGCTGTGAAATCTGGTCCCTTTTCCCTTGTCTTGATTGGATATTCACCATCATCACTTGAGGTTTGCACAACACTACCAATGAGTGCTCATTTTAAGAGTCCCAAATTCCCACTGGCACCTTGCATTCTCACTGTGCCATGCACATGCTGATCTTTATATAAGGAGACACCTCATGGCCACTTGTGAAAGGCACATACAGTAATTTGGCATGAGCAGTGGTTGAAAAAATTAATTTTTTTCCTTCCAGCATTTATTGGCAGATGTGTGGGTGATGCGGACCCAGGACTTAGGCGTATGTGACACCCAGTACCACTGTCGTAGTCACTTAGGCCACCTGTTAACGGCAGGTGACTTGGTTATGGGTTTTGACTTTACTAGAACCAACGTCAATGATGCAAACCTAGATCAGGTTGGTAGACCCATCACTTTCTGTATTACAGTCATAAAGCTTTCATCACAAGAATCTTTTCATTACATTTACAAATATTTAGACAAGTTACAGAAAGGGATCGTTGAATTGAATTTGGGATTTCTGGTCATTGAAATGAAAGTCAAACAATGCAGTACTTTAAATGATTTTCTGCAGAAGCAAACCTCAGCTTGATTCCATTCCTCAAACTGCAAATGATTTCATGCACTTTCAGGTGAGGAGTGATGTTCTTCCTGATGTCGTCCTCATTAAGAAATACTATGGGGACCGACAGAAGCGCCACCGCAAACGTAACTGGAAACTGAGGACATTACGCAAGGATGAGGAGGGATTGGACCCCGACAAGGCAGACAGGTAAGCGAGGACTTATCATGAGATATGTCCTCAGAGCTCCACTCTTTGGGAAATGCTGTCGTTGACTTGACCCAAAATGAAAAAAAAATGTTATCTCTCCATTTTTAAGTTCAATTTTAGAAAGTTTAACCTTAACCACTTGCCGCCAGGGACTCCTGTTTTTATATGCATGGCCGGGGTATCCGAAATCGGACAAAGGGGATCTGAGCCTTGTAACGAAAGACTGTACTCAGAACAAAAAACCAGGCTGCTGGGCATTACTGACATTTTTTCACTCTCAATAGTGGAGATAATTAAGCCTTGTTTTGAAACAGTATACAACGGTTTGGGGCATTTAGTGCCAGCGGATTACCACCAGGGACAAAAGTGCTCCACCTCCGCAGCGATGAGCCACACAGCACCGCTGCACGCTAATCTGGCCCCTGTTGAAAGAGGTCAGCAGTGCACTGTGCTATGTTCATGAACAAAAGAAAGTTACATAACACCGCACATTTTGGGCTCTTTTTACAAGGCTGCATGCCTGGTTGAAATACTCGGGCGTCAATAGATTTTGTCTGTCAGACTAGAGTGGCTTAAAGTGGCCACCAGACATGATGAAATGATGAATTTGAAAACTGAAAATCTCGAAAAGGTCCCAATTATGTGCACTGCATTTTTCAAACCACCTGCTAGCAAGTGGTTAATCCCAGGGCCTCTTTCAACCTCATTCCCCTGGGAAGACACTGGGTTTGTTCTCTCTCTGACTGGTCATTGCTTACAGAAGCAGTGATGTCAACCTCATTCTCTTAGTTGTCTTCAACCTCAGCCTCAATAATAGATTCTGGGTAGAAGAATTATTTTCTTTTTTATTCTGATGAGCTACCTTTTATGTAACCTTGAATCTATTTTCTCCAGGGATTACATTGGTTTCCTTGAGGATCTCGAAGAAGATGCAGACTATAGGAAGAACGTCAACATCTATAAAGGTATGACGAGACTATTGCCATCGCAACAGTTTTTCTCAAAGCCCAGCCCTTTTTTCAAAATTATGTCAACTTAATCAAAATATAGGGACACTGAAAAAATGCCAGTTGTAAGGTAGCATGCCTTGTGATTTAGCACGGAAAAGGTATCATCTCGTTTGTTTACCGCTTGTTCAAACTTTTGGTTTGCTTCTCTAGACCGTAAAAAGGAAGTGGTTGTGGAGTCAAGCGACGATGATGATGCTCCCCGCATCAGTTTGCAAGAGATGCTCGATGACCTGCATTTGACTGATGATGATGAGGAGAGGCATCAGGTTGCTATGCAAGATGAGGCCACTGCCGTGGCAACACAGTGAATGATGAATAGTAACATAGGACAGGTATTCCAGGGGTGTTCATCATGTCCTGCCTTGGTGTTTGTCTCCATCAAACAGTTTGGCAGTGAAGCAAGAGCCTGAGGCTTCATTACAGAGAGCCTAATTTCAGTCATTAAGTTGTTTTGCAAGCTTCAAGTTCATTCTAGTTTTGGCCTCAGAATCAACTTTTATGGCCCGTCACCTGATTTTGAAGGTCGCAGCATCGCAGCATATTGTGTCCATGTTTGGCTGCAAGAATATTAGATCCAGTAGGTCCAAGCTATGATGGAATACACATTTAGCTGCATTTATTTTAACCCACCCACCCCGGTTCCCGTGTGAGAGTCGAACTTGAGACAAAGCAGAGACTTGATATACAAATTCTCCAATAGTTTAAAAATCTTTGGCAGAAGTGGTCACTGATGTAACTCCCATGAATAATGCCTGCAAAAAAAATTGTAAACTTATTTCATTGAACAGGGCATGGAACGTTTCACTCAATTTAACACCAAACCACTCCAGACTGCTAACTTCCAATATCAGTCATTTTTATTCAAGCAATCTATAATTTGGAATTTGTATAGACAAAATATCAATAAATATACTTGGCATTTTTCCATCACAGAAAAGAGCCAAACAAACACCGCAGAGAGTGCATTGGCTGTTGCCCTCGAACAAAATTTAGAAATGAGGTAAATCAAATATTTTTTTTAATACATTGACTGAATGTTACCAGTTTTTCTTGACAGATTTTTTACAAAAATGAGGCCATCACACTGTGTGTGCACTTTCCTACAGAGGTTATGCCCATCTTCCCAGGCAGTGCTTTTTTGTGGGGGGGATATGCTCAAAAAGTCTACTCATGTGTATCTCTGGAGCACGAACACTGACCAGGAAGATGGCTGCCATGCATGACTTCGCTCGTCGCCCAGTGCCCCAATAGGCACTGGGAAGGGCTGATGGCGTTGCTCCGGTTTTAGTGAAGAAAATACGTCACATGGGGTCATAGCTAATGACACACAGAACATTGTAGGTAATTCCTGCCAGGTGCGCAAGTTCACTCAATGCCTTACACAAACAGCAGTTATCCATTCGATTTTTTTTTCTTTTTCTTTCTCATTGCTGAAATCATTCTCAACACTTTATTCCTTTCTCTGAAATTGCTCACGATAATTAACGATTTGAAATATACCCCCCAAAAGACACATGGTGGGTGAAATTACCACAGTGATTGTTCCAAGGCCATGCTTTTATCATATAGCAAAATCTTGGCCCATACCAAAGCATTGCCATTGGTGAACCAAAAAAATTAAAGTAACGCTTCGCTACACAGGAAGTGATAACCTCGCGGTCACAGGTTGTGCACAATGTAGCCAATCACAGTGCAAAGCCATCAGCCCTTCCCTATTCAGGCGACGAGCAAAGTGCATAACCTGTATGGAGCCAGTAGGGCCCAACAGTCCACTGATTCCACAGGCAAGCACACATACACAGCGCGGTGTCATCAGTAAATGCGTTTAAAAAGCCAGCTGTCTTGTACCGTAGCTGCAACAATGGCAGTGTTGTAGTTGAGACCAGTCACAAGTGACAGAGAGAAGAGTGGCAAAGGAAAGGAATGCGTTTATCACAATTCATCTTAAAATCTTGCGACTTGATCTCAGACTGGAGGAGAGTACTACTGTACAATTACCTGGGGATTATCTGATGTATAGATGCCATGTGTCAGAATATATTTAGGTAGTTTAAAAAGCCAGATTTTACTAAGTCACTCAGCTTGACTGTCACAGCAGATAACACAAACCAAGCATAATAAACTTGTACCTTTCACATACATGGATTGATATGTGCACAGATATTGCTTAATTACTTGTATCTCGACTTTTTTTTAGCTTTGGCACTACAAAAATGAATCATTACATGTAGTCTGCAATGGTTTCCACATAAAATACATTTCATCTAAAAGCTAAACAGGTGTTAGAGTGAAAGGAAAAGAACAGGAGTTATTTTGCTTCAGAATAATGAAATGACCTTGAATTATTTATGTACTGGGCAAGTAGCAGTGCCAGACATCAGATGTTTGCTTTTACAGACTTCTACAGTTATTATATATGTTTAAGATCTTAGCTTGGTGCACCTCATATGGAATACATCACACTGAGTGTGGATACTGTTTCTTTTTGACAGCAGTAACGGTGGCTGTCATGTATTTACTTCACAAGTAACTCTCCAGATATGTCTGCTAACACCTTTCCTGATTTGTTAAGAAAACCTCCACCGTACTAGAAACCAATGGATCATATCTGATATTTCACCAAATACATTAGACATTAAGCCCCATGTGAAGTCATTGTGGAGAGACTTAAGCCTCCACAGTCCTGGCGATGGTTTATAATGTATTACAGGGTGACAATAAATCCCGCACAGTCCTCCAAAACCGACTAGACATTTTAAAAATCTATAAAAGCTTCTTTATGCCAGGCAAGTTTCAGCAATTCCTAGGGCTTTGTTGCTGTGCATGTGATAAAAAAAGACTGGTATGTGTGGAGACCGTAAACAGCGATTGAGGGGAAAAGGAAACTGGTAACATAATGAACTTTACTGAAAACTGAAAAACAAATTTTCCGTGCAGGAATCTAGAGTGTCATGCACTTGTCAATACAGAAATTAAAATGCAGCCCGTTACATTTGTTCAAATAACCAGGACCTCTGCAAATGCTGCCAACACCAACTTCTTCCTACATCAACATTGAAAAAAAAAGCAAATCTCCAAATTCGCTCGATCAAACAACCACAGCACACATTTGAGCAGATCACCTGGTTTGATCCTGCACAAATTGCAAGGCAAAAGAACAAAATTTCACCAAAACAAGATAAACTCTCAAAGTATTTTTTTTAAATGCTTATTTGTTAAAGAGTAACAGAATTCCCCAAATTGATGAATTTAAACAATGTCTTCAAGTTCTAACAACGCCATGTGTGTAACTTCTTTTCCTTGGGATATTGCTTGACTTTAACTTTCAACATTATTGCCTTACATGTATATCAACATTTTACTAGTTGCCATGGCACTGACCAATCACTTCCCAGGATTTAAATTAAGCAAAGAAGTTACTGATTTAGCTTCACCAAGATGAAAAAAAGCAAGACAAAAATTATCTTTTCATAAACACATGATTTTTTTACTTGCTTTGTGTCACAAATTTCTTTTAAGAGAGAAAACAATTTGAAATCGTTGGTTCTTTTCACAATCCTTAAAAAACATTTACACATTGCAGCACCTGTGTCCGAATATTTCCATCCATTAAAAACTGTTCATTATTGGGCAACAATGTACAACAGGTTGACTAACCTCAAAATCTATTTTGCCTAAAAATTAAAATGTCCCATGTTAAAAAAAGTTGAATCATACAATTACATCTGCACAAAGGATCTAATCATATCATTTTTCAACATTCAGCTGACACTGCAAACTGAACACGTCTCACGATTTTGTACAATAAAATTCCAGTTGCTTCATCAAACTGTTTTTCGTAACAGAAATTACTTATCTTTGAATTTCATTTCATTCTCTGTCATTGACTGAACCAAGGAAATGCCATTACAGCATCGACACTATGATCAAACAGTGCTACACCACACTAAGATAACTGAATAAGAAAACAAACACGAAAACAACCATTTCAGGTTGGATATTATACACACGTACCCTTTTATTTACAGTAATGAGGAGATAATCATTTCTTATGCTACAATACTTACATGAGGCCTTGAAGAACATTTTGGAGACTGCTTGAGATGAGAATCAGCAATTGGTCGAAATATGGAGCTATTTTGTTCAACTTTCAGCAGTCCAATAGAACAGGTAAACGGACAGGGAGTGGAAAATTTAAATGTAAAAGTGCAAAGGTGAGCTGAGATAGTTGGTTAGGTGGAAGGTACATACACACTATGAACAGTTGAAGACTGGGTAATTTCTGAAAATTGTCAGCATATTTCTGGAAATTACAAATTGTCAGCACATTTCCAGAAATACCCTTTTTCTTCCTCACTTATTAAATTTATTGTTTCTTCATTTGAGAAGAAACATCAACATTATCCCTCAATACTTGAGCGGAGTTGAAAGAAAAGAAATATCTCTGAGCTCTCACATTTTACGTGAATGTTGCTTTCTTTTTGGGCTGATCACTTCAGAAATGCCACAATCTTGTCATCTTATTAAAGTGGTCTGGATGCTACTTAAATGGACTCTGACAGTTGGGATTGGTCCAGGTTCTTGGTGCAATCGTCCTCTTTGAGCTTAGGGATGGTCATCGGACCGCTACTTTGCAGGGGCGACCGTGGCATATTTGGGGACATGGGTGGGGTTGCTGGTGGGCTGGACTGTGGGCTGGACATGCTCCTGGTACGGCCTAGCATTTCACTCAGTCTCATAGGAACTGCTGCAAATAAAAAATACAAAGACGAAAAGGAAGAATTCAGCAAGGTCCAATTCAGGAAAAAGTTACAATGTCACAAGTGAAGAGGTCCTACAAGATGCTTTCCCGCTGAACCCCTTACTGGATGTCCTTGGTCTTCCAATGAGGGGGTCCTGTTTTTAAAAAGAGCAAAGGAAAGAGGACACATTGGGGAAGAGGAAAGAGACACAAGACGTGAAAACTTGCTCCTGCTGCATCAAAGAAAGTGGTAGTCCAGAGATGAAAATACTACTAGTAGATGGTACTAAGGGTGTATAACTGAGGACCTTTCCAAGAAAAAGGTTCTCAGTTTACAAAATGTTTATTTTATTTATTACAATCTTGAAAGAAGGTAACCCTTCCAATATTTCTCCTTTTGTTCACAACTGCAAATGCTGGCATACTTCATACATGGTCTCTGCCTACAATTGTCTTCAAAAAGCAAAAAAGAAAATGTCTCTGCCTACAATTATCCTCAAAAAAAGAGAAGAAAATACCAGCACTGATGTTTTGCTGAGTTGTGTTAATTTGTGTAATATGAATAAGCATCCCAGTTTCGTGCACATCATGGTGAAAAAGGATCTCAAGCATTAGCAATGAGGTTTCAAGTGAAACTGGAGTGCAAATGTAGTCCACGCGACACCCTCAACAGTCCAGGAGCTGGTGCGGTTGTTTTAGGTTGTACAGGAAGTATGTTGGATCAACTATAGGGCTGTTAGGGTAAATATTCCAAGATGCTCTTACTTGAGATCAATTGAGTGAGTGAGGTTGATCTGCTGTGGTCTGCAGGTGGCAAAGAGAAGGACAAAACGGGGGGTGATTCGGGGGGCGACTCTGGGGCAGTTGGGGCTGGGGGCTTGCCACCCTCCTGCATCTTGGCCTCGCGGGCATGCTGTCTCTGTAACTGCTGGTATCGGCGCAGGCTGTCGGGAGCCACAAAGCAACCGCCAGGTATAGTCGACATGATGACGTATGGAGGAGATGTCCAAGTCTACTGTGAGGAGAACGGAGGTCAGAGACAGGGAGCAAAAAAGAGGTGCCTAGCCTGTGGGACAGAGAAGGACATGGACAGGAGTTTAGTGAGTACAGATCAGTTCAGAGTTGTAACAAGCCACCAATTTTTGTGACTAGAGTCATATCATTGTAATGTAGTGACTTGAATCAAGTCATCAGGAAAAAAGAATGAGTCAAGTATTTAATTGGAGTCAATTCAAGTCACAAATATTTGAACACTACAGTAGATAAAACAAGTCATTTTGGGCATTTTTAAATTTACATGTACCTCTAGGTTACTACATGCGGTCACATCACAACTTACTCTTGAGGATGACATGTTACACGAACATGATAAAGCAGCAAAATAAGTCATTGCAATTACCGTTTCACAAAGAAGTTTGCTTTTATTTTGAGGATTCGATTCTTATTTGCTTTCATTTAAATTGAGTCTTCTGATGAGGGACTCAAGTCGAATAGCTTGCAGCGACTGAGTCTAGTCATTTACCAGTCAGGGCTTCAGTCAAGTTGCCAAAACTCCAGTCAATCATTGACATGAGTCACTACAACTCTAAATCAGTTCCTGGAAACCTGCTATTCTTAGATGCCAATAAGGACCAACATTATGGAGCTGCAAAGCCGTTGGCCAAGTGGCAACTTCTTTCTTGACCTTTCACCTCTACAGCTCGGATTTCATTCCTAGCCCAATCCACATGTGGAATGGGTTGAAGTCCCTACCTGATTCCATGGGATTTACCAAGAATATCTTCAAGGAGGTTCCCGAACCACTTCTGAAACTCTTCATATAACTTCTTCTTCACAGGTTTAGGAGCTACAGTGCCTACAGTGCTTTTGAAATCCTTGGCTACAGAAATGCTTCATAAACCTACATGTACAGTATAAGGGAAAAATGCCCAAGTCAGATGCCACTAGTTTCCCCTGCAGCGACTTATTAGCCACCTAAAAGCAATACACTGTCCTAAAAAGTCATATTCAGCAGCGAAATTATTGAGGTACCATATTCACTTCCATTGTAAACAACAGAAGTTTTTAGACCAGTCTCCTAGGGTTGAGTACAGGTTGTCAAGTGGCATCGTTATGTGGACCTCTTTCCCCCTGTTAGTACTAACACTATAAGCAGAACAGGAACTCCTTAAGAATCAATCTACATGTTCGTTATTTGCACCGAATCCCACAAAATGACCATGAATGAGACTCAACTTTTCAGGGAGCTTGTCTAAAAAAGTCAAACTGTAGTTTGCAAGCAGTCACACCATTTTGGAGTTTGCCAACTCTTTGCAACCAGCTGACTTTTGATTGCCTCTGCCTATTTTACAGGACTTAGGTTATTTTAAAAAATATGGTAGTACATTTATATTAAACTCAGAGGAACTGACTAACAACACTCCATATTATTGTAAAAATTGGCCGACATGTACCCAACACAGCGAGAGCAGTTAACCAGCGGAAGACGCGGTCGGGCATAACACTCAGGGCAAAGCAGCTGCCACGTCTGTTTTGGAGGAAGACTCCATTAATTAGGCATGAACACTTCGTATAATACCTTAAACTGTTCAAGTTCTAACCAGGGACCTACAGTCGGCTACAAGGCAATTACCAAAACTATATTATGAGAGGTTATGGGTGATTCCAGAAATTAGGCGTCCAGTTATTTTGTGTTCCTGTCACATCTGACACATGATTTTGTAAGTTCAGAACACATTATCTAATTTCCAAGAGTGATGAATTAATGCAAAGTACTTGCCAAACAAATAGTAATAGTTTGAAATCAATTTTGGTGATATTTTCATGCCAAATAACAAAGGTCAGGTGTAACAGGGACACGAAAATGTCACACTTCTGGACCCCTAATTTCTGGAATTACTTTAATTCCTTTAATTTCAATACTGATGCCCCTGCACCTGTATGGCATTCAGCCCTCACTCATGCTTAGATAAATCAAACTGAGAGGATTAAGAAACGGCAGTTAACGGTTGTTAGATTTAATTTTAGGATATCAATACCAATTGTATGAAGCTGCCTTAAATGTTACCCAATTTGACACACTCTGTGATAGAAGGAAGGGAATTTGCTTTAAATTGGCTCAATCATTCATTAAATCTCCCCGATTTTTTCATCTGTGAGATTTCTAATCCACATCGGGGGCAGATCCAGAAAGTTTTCCAGGGTAGGGGGTTAGGCAGGCAATTTTTTTAATGAGTCATTTTTGTGGACAAGCAAAATGGTCCAGAAACATTATTATACATGCTAAACATTGTTGACAATGCTATTGGTGTGCTTACTTTAGTTAATTTTAGTATCTTCTCCATTTTTGCCTCTTTTCCCCATTTTTTGTCTCGGAGTGAGGGGGGGGGGAACTCATCCCATAAACCCACCTTGGATCAGTGCCTGCATGCAAACAAATTACATGTAAATGTATGCAGAACAGAGAGGTGCCAGTATAAATCTAGTCCTACTCCATCTCTCAATATGCTTTTGAATGATAGTTACCGGTACCTTGTAATTAAGTTGATATCAAGGCTTTATTCAGGAAATGTGGGTTCTTATACAGGAAACATATAAGTTTGTTTTTATCTGTACATGTACGTCCAAATGGTACGAACACGTTCATGTCAATGAATATGTTTCCTTTATCAGTTTTTGTTATTTTATTTTGTAAGATCATGCCTAATTCAGCCCTTTAGGCTGCGGAAATGAATGAAAAAATAACACCACCACCATAATGAGAACTAGCTGGACTTGGTAAAATCAAAATATATCCATGTGCATAACATGTGTACATGCAGAATATATTTGAGTCAGCTACAGAAAAGCCTCTGCTAAAGTAAACATATTCTGAAAGTACATGGAATTGGTGGTTGTGTGTCATCTATTTGCCCAGTCCCCTGCCAATAATGAAACTTTGGGTATTCATTGATGACGACCCCCCATGGTTTTATTTACTCATTATCACTGACTGGCTTTTTGAAATGATACATGCAGCACCTACTGACAGTAATCGCAATAATTGGGCAGGGTCTGCCTATGCTCTACAGAGGGGAATTTGTGGAGCACAGTGTGGATGGCATTTTACATACGGTGTGGATGTCGCGGTGGAATAAGCAAACACTTTATGTGGCAAGCAATTTTTTGTGCTCAACACTGCTTTGACATATTAACCAATTTAACGACTGCTCCTTTGTTACTTGTGGGAACTACACACAAACATTGAATGGACAAAGTTGGTGGCTCGGTCCTGAGTTTCCTAACAAAGAAAACTGTCCCCTCAATGTGGAGCTGGCTAAACAAATGCCTGATATATGCATCAAAAATTGCAATCGAAAAAGAAACAATCAGAATAAACTGCCATGTAGAAATCAGAATAAACATGTACAAGTACATGTAGTGACATTCTGAACCAGTGCAGCATGGCCAAGCCTCAGCAAAATTGCCTACGTGCATGACACAAAATTGCCTACGTGCATTACGCAACGTTTCTAGATGGACTATGGATTTTCAACCTGTCAGTTCCAGTACCAAACCGGACTACGTGACCAATCAACTAAAATACACAACCCATATACATGTATCTTTCACTTCTCAAGGCCAAAGCATAAAAATGTTCTGTATATCATCAGCCTTTGGCCTACCTGTATTTTTAAGAGGTCGGAAAATTCTCTTTCCCAGCTTCACGTGGGTGAAGTGGCATGTAATGTCTAGCAAAGGCTCAATGCCTTTCGATCTTTAGCTTCTGAACTCTGACCTTAAAAACTAAACACAAACAGACTTGCATAACTGCTTCCTCCATGGGTGAGGCACCAAAAACTCTTCCATTTCAAAGGTTTTTTCCTTTCTATACTGCAGTGAAATTTCATTAACTTCATCCTGCAGTGATGAGGAATATCTTTGTCCCAGCCTGCAAATGAAACCAACTTCTCTCTCATTTGAAAATGAAACTGGCTGTTAGTTTTTATCGCTCAAATACATGTACTGGGTACAGAGCTACAAAATTGCTTCACTACAAAGTATCCCAAAGTAATTTTTCATAAAAAGAAAAAGAAAAACAAGGATATCTTCCCAACTGGCCTCACATCCGTGACCACATCCAATACAAAGTTGTACCGGTAAATCATCCACACAACGAGAGTTGGAAAGTTCATAAGGTGCACTGTGAGTCAAAATGACATAATATCGGAACATATTATTATCAAGGAGGCCAAAAAAATCCCATGCTGTCTGCTAGAGACAGTAGAGATTAGCACATACATGTACACGTACATGTATCATATCACAAATGATTGTACATTAAGGTAGCACACCATACTGCAAACATTCCTTGTCAGAAACCAATCATTATTATGGTCATACATACATGTCACAATTACCTACAATTACCTTCCCAAATCCATCAGAATCTACATATACCAGCAGGTACAGTGTTGGCTAGTTTTGTAGGATTCAGGGAAGGCAGGAACGTTTCTTGCAAGCTGAAACACTGTCTAAAGAGTAAGCCATTGGTTTCCTGTGCAG